TTGGGGTGGATGGTCCTGAAGGTGATGCAGGCGGAGCGGCAGTACTCCTCGAAGCCGAAAAGGTACCTGCGAGGGAGAGCGAGCGGATGAGCGGTCGCATCGGCGTTTCGACGACGCGAGTCCCAAACGCTCACTTCTTGTACGCCGTCTTCACGTTGTACGACGCCGCCGAGTTGAGGATGGGGATGCCCAGATCCATGTAGATCTGCTTCCACACTGTGCCGCTCTCAATCTGAAGCACAAACGGAACCGATTCCATGTTCGAGTTCAAAAATAGGCAAGCAGAGGAACGATTTGCATCCATTTTGGTCAAGAACGGCGAAGACACGCCCCCGCTCCATTTCAGTTGACAGATCTGTCCAAGAGGCGGCCTCGTTTATGTTGCGCCAATGCACCGGAGGAATCTGTGACCTGAAGGGCAGCCGTTTCGCTGTGACAACATTCCAGCTCAATGCAGACAAGTGACATATCGGCACATTTCTTGACCGATTCAAACCGTTCCGCCGCCGACATATTCAATCGGGAGCTAATTATCCCCCAAATGATCCAAATCGATCGCCTTGCACATTTCCTGGCCAATTCGAACCATCCCAACCGCATCCATTTTTCAGCTCATGAAGGACATGGACAGATTTGTTTTTAATCACATACCAAAAACTCCCAGAGGAGCACACGAACATTCTCAAAATGACGCTTCAAACCACTCGAACTCCATTGCCGATTTCACCTCGTCAATTATTGCCACTGCGTTTCGGTTGAGCCTCAGCTATTCAGCATGCACACATTTTCTACAGAAAAGAACCCAAAACGTTTTCTACTTTCATTCAATCTGCACAGAAAACACTTTGAGGGCATCGACGGTGAATCCGGTCGTATTCTTGCGCAGCAAATGATTTCACCGTGCACTTGGTCGCATCAAATTAACTCGTGCAGCCCTTGTGGTTTTTTTCCCCCGCCCCACGACCGGTCCGCGACCGGCCCGGCGTTTGCGAATTCCTGACCTAGTGGACGTCGGACCAAGTTACCTTGCGACAGCCGCCGTGTTGGAACACCAAGCGGAAGAGCTTGAACAGGTTCAAGTCCTTGTAGCCCAACACTGGAGGCTTGTTGATGGGCGTCCCTAATGGACGCACACAGCATACCAGGTTAAAACAAACAAACAAACAAACAAAAAAGCATTTGCCTGTGATGGACAGATGTTAAATTCATTCAGTGCCAGACATTTTCAAGCCCTTCTTAACCTTGCCATGTGGAGAGAAATTTTAAAAAAAAGGAAAAATGCCGGGTTCTTAAAGAAAAAAATAAAGCGTGAAAAAACATCCTCGGCATTGAATGAGTTCATCACCCGGCCAGACTCACCTCGGTCCTCCATGAACTTGTAAAGCTGCTGCAGGAAGTGATCGCGCTCCTCCGGGTCCGGCTCCTCCTCGGGCTGCGCGCACGGAAACACACACGAGCAGGCGTGTCGGGCTTGGCGACAATTGGACACGTGGCCACTTGGTTCGAAACGCAACCAGCGGAATCAAGACGAGTGCGCTTGGAGCACTTCATGTGCGTCGGGGGGGGAGGCGGCGATTAATTCTTTTCAATTTGTAAGTCGATTGGCGAGCCACATCTCGAGGAAAGAGACAACCCGAGCGGAAGGATTTGGTCAAACCGAGCGAGCGCCGACCTCCTCCTTGAGCAGCTTTTTCCTCTTCTCCTCTTCATCCATGTCGTCGTCCTCGCTCTCTTTCTCCTCCCCGTTGCCGCCGCCGCCGCCATCGTCGTCGTCGCTGGTGGACGAGTCCAAGATCTGACTCATGTCCATCTTCCAAACCTCTGGCACCTCCCTGCGCCTCGCAAATATCTGAGCCGCTTCAAAGCCTGGGGGGGTGGGGGGGGGCACAAACATGAGGAAGATGAGGATTAGCACAACGCAGAGGAAAAGGGGGACGTGCCGGGGCATCGCGGGAAAGAAGACCGACCGCGTGTGTTGGAGAGCTCCGACTTGTTGATGCTGATGGAGTTGAGGGGGTGCACGTTCCTCCTGGAAACCGTGCAGCTGCGGCAAACGGGAAGCAGATGAGCAAGTTGCCGCGCGCTTCAAAGGCGACGTGATAAATTGGCAACTCGTCATCAGGGGCGCCAAAGCCGCGGCGGCAAAATTCAGCGCTTTCGACAACGAGCCGTCAATTAGAAAAGGAATGCGCGACTCGTTGACCTTCCAACTGTCCAAACCCAAAACGCCCCCGCTTCTGATTTGAGTCGTCCTCTCGGACGGCGCAGCGACTGTCTTTGCGTTGAATCCAAATAAGAGATTCGCGTTGGCCGGTTGGTGGCGTTGATCGACGCCAAACTTGGAAGTAACGATCTTGGTCTCTTGGATGCTTGCGTCTCCACTTCGATACGATCAAGAGATATCGGCGGGCCCTCGCGCAATCCGTGACGAAAACGGTCGCGGTCTACAGCGCCGAGTATGAAAAAGCAGGAACTGACCCATCGTTGAACCTGAAGCGAGCGGCCCTTCGCATAATGACGTGAATCAAGCTTGCGAATATCAAATCCGTTCAGCGCAAGTCCCTCTGCCGCCGTTTACGATACGAGTCGCGAGCGTTTGGGAGGGCAATGCCTCAAGGTCCGCGAAAACGAGTCGAGTCGGCGACACGCCGCCGGGAACAACTTCAAAATAGAAGCTTACCTCGGCGTTGATCTCCGGCTATGATTTGGTTGGGTATGGTTTATTTTCGAGGTTGGCCTTCAACAATTCTTCATGGCCAAATTATCGTCACGGGAACGGGGGCAAAAATAATCAAGATCCATTTATTGGAGCCCCGATTACAAGCTCGCCTCGCAGGAAACGATTCAGCAGATCAATTCAAACTCACAACTTGGAGTCGCTGAAGGACCTGACCAGACATTGATCCTTCTTCACCACCAACTCGTCGTTGCAGCTGGGAGACACCACCTAAACACGCACATCGGGGTGTTGACACGTGACACGCGCGCGCTGGGAAAAAGGTGCGCGCGCCCTGGCATCTTACCAGCGCCAGGAACCAGGAGGCGGGCTGGTCCTCCTTCTTGACGCTGCAGACTTTTCCCAGAAGGTCATCGTTCAGCCTCCTGCGGTCTTCCTCGTCGTCCTCGCTGGACGACGACTCGTTCTCGTCGTCCGCCCTGAGGGACACCAGGCAGTCAAGCGCCTCCACTTTTCCACTCGTTCACCTCCCCCCGCACACAACTGGACGATTTCTCCCAAAGACTCACACGGCCTGCGAAGAGCGACGTCCGCGATTGGACTTCTTTCCGATGACCGGGGTGCCAAAGTGTTCCGGGTTGGTCAGGGGAAGCTGGTCCAGCGTCTGCGGAGGAAGAAGACAAAAACAAAAACAATGAGCAGGGAAAGGAGGACGGGGAGAAGAACAACAAGAGCATAAAAGGGAGAACTCATCAAACAACAACGACGACGAGGACAAGCGTACCAACGATGAAAGGCACAGCGACAAAAAAAGACAACCAGAAGAAGAACAGGTAGAGAGGAGAAGAACAACAAGCATAAGGGGCGGAGCCAAAGAGCACCACCGGGCGGGAGGAAAAGAACAACGGAGAGCAGTCGTCTTAAAAAAAGAGGAAGAGAAGCACAAGAACAACAAGTAGAAGAAAAACAGAGGAGGAGATGGACAATAAAAAAAAGCAGAGAGGAAGAACAACAAGGCTGAGCAGAACAAGAAAAGGAACAAGTCGCGCGCCCAATGGAGATTTTTTTTTTTTTTAGGCTGATGCTGATAGCTGGCAAGAAGAAAAAAAAAATCTCATCACCGATTACGAGGCGATTTATGATGATGATGATGATGATGATGATTTCGGGGGAGAAAAAAAAAGAAATAAATCATCCGACCAGTCCCTTACTCACCTCGCTCTCTGCAAAGTGCCGCTCGCCTTTCAGGCACAGAGACGACCGCCGCAGCGTCTTCTCGTCTCCGTCGTCAAAAACTGAAAACAGACGGTGACACGTGGGTCACGCGCCGGCAGTCGGGCGCGTGCGCGCGCTCGGAAGGCACGCGCTCCTTTCACGCGCGCTCACCGACGGTGTAGAGGCTGGCGTCCGTCAGCTTGCTGATGACGGCCTCGCTGTACACGCCTTCGTTTGTCTTCACCTCCACCGTCGAGCCCACCTGCCGGGGTGCGCGCGCGCACACACACACACACGATTAGTTACCACATCGTCGTAGTCGTCATCGTGATGAAGCCTCTTACCCTGAGGGGGCCTTTGACCTGATCGTCGTGGACCACCTGGCTGGCGCTCCCCCCTTTCAGAGTCACCTGCAGGGAACGACGACAAAAAAAAAAAAAAAAAAACAAATCAATCGGACTCCTGATCAATTCTCATTGGGTAAAACGTAAAAAATACGCTTGCGCCCGTTTTCAAAAAGGCAGCGGGAGCAAAACTGAGTTGGGTTGTACTTTGTTGACGTATTTCACAACGATTGTGCATCGATCCTCATCCTCAAATCCATCCGGGACCACGGCTCCTGTATCCGAAATGAACAGCCGGCCGGCCAAGTTCTCCCATCAACACGGCAGGTGCCCTCGCGTCACCGTCACAGTGTCGGTCCGCTCCCCAGAAACGATGGCGGCTTTTGCGTCAGCTCGAACAACAGCGCGAGCAGACACGTTCGGACGATCCATTGACAAATTGCGACCTAACTCATCCGGCGCCGCCTCCCGGTCTTCGGAAAGCCACATTGGCCATCGCTCCCACGCCGCTTGCAACTTCATTTGGGCCGTTTCTGTCCATTACCATGGCGACCAAGCACAACAGTAAAATGTCACTCTCGTTTCATTTTAGCACCTCTCGAATTGAAAATGGCTGTCAGCACTCAAGTTATGTGACTTACGGCCATGCGTAGGCAGACGCCAGCGGGCAGGCGCGGCGGCGTTTGTTTGAGCTCCCACGGAAAATATTGTTTGGGTTGTTTTTTTTGTGCTATTGTGTTCATGCATTGAGTTTTTATGTCAAAAGATGAAATTGTTGGCGTGTGGTCTGCCAGATGTTCAAAATGCATGACATGTCTACTTCTGGCGCAGGTCACCCGTCTGTCAAACGTGATCGGCAACCACGCTGCAGGGCACGTGACACACACCGGCGCGACACAACACGTATGCGGTCAATCGTCACACGCACGGACACGATTTCCGTCGATGTGGCGGCTGTGTCAACAAAGGGGGAAAAAGATCTACGGACACATTTTCTGTATATTTTTTGGTCCTGTTAGCTGATCGTACCATAAGTGCATCCATTTGCTCGCCTTCGATGCGACTCCACAATCGGCCTGTGAGAAATGTCATTGCGAGCTTAAAGTTTTCGGCGTCACTCCTGGCGCACCTGGGCTAACACGGTATGGCGAAGTGATTTTGCCGGAGTTAACGTCAATTCATGAGCTTGCCGCGTGTACATTCAAATATCAAAAGTAGACGAAGGCACATGTCGGCATTATCACTCTGCTATTTTCTGCAACAGATGACGGGATGAAACGTGCGCATTATTTCTCTTGTGTCACACAGGTGACTCGTGTTCTTCGAAGCTGCGGGGATGGAATCGGGGGTGTCCAATCATCCACACCGTCAGCTGTGAGGGTGAAATCAACTTGGCACCCGAACTGTATGAGGGACAGGGACAGTCTATTTGGAACTCAAACTGACTCAAACCTTTTGGGAGTTTTCGTCGACTAAAGCTAGCACAAAGAGGAACGACTAAAACTAATAAGCATTTTTTTTTTTTTTTTGTCGACTAAAGAGGAATGACTAAAACTAATAAGCATTTTTTTTTTTACCCAAAAGACAAACACTAAATTTAAAATGGCTGCCAAAAACGACACTGTTTCCAATGAATTTTTGCCACGGCGGTTGTCGACTGTAGAGTAACTATCCAAGTTATTTCAATAGATATGTATAGCTCCAGCTTCTGATGGAACAGCCAAGGATCATTTGGTTTTTTTTTTTTTTTGTTTATCACCAATGGGCTCCAAAAACCCTGATCGCATCAAGTCTAGTGTATACACAGCTATAGTTACACTATAGAGTACATCCAAACTCCTTTATTGCCACTGTCCTACGAAAAACGCGCATGTTCATTGAAAAAAATGTTTTAACCTAATTAAAAAAAAAAAAAGACAATAATTTCTGAGACAACAGCGATGTCATGATTAGGGGATAGGTAATTCCACACACCAAGGACGAGAACCGCCAATTTGGCGGCAAGGCGCGCCACCGCCTTACCTTGACCTTCACCAGCCTCTTCACAATCTTGATCTTGGCCTCGCAGAAGGCCCCTCGGTACTTGGCGCTCACGTCGGTGCCCACGGTCAGGTAGGCGGGCTCGTCGGCTGCCTGAAAAAGCCACGCCGGCGGCACGTACAATTAGTACTCTGGAGGTGATGACATCACCATAAAGTCCAAGAGGCTCACCTTCATCTTTTGTGCTTATTTGACAAAGTCCAGCTCGGGAGCTTTGTTGAATGCTGGCACGGGGGATAAAACAGAAACGCGTTAGAAAAGTAGGCAAACCAGGACACGCTCAGAACAATGCAAGGAAAACTAACTGGAAGACAACAACACTTGGAATCATCTTCTCGTTATTTTGGGGCTCTCAGTCATCTCGGTCTCATCTAGGCAAGTGACGCTTGCAGGCTTCAACTTTTGTGGAGTACCATAAACTGAATAACTTGGGAAACTGGACTCTTCTTGGTTGTTGAAGGCGGTACACCTTAAGGCTCAGATGACAGAATATACACGGACGTACAGGATGACCAAGACAACTGGACTCTTGGTGAACGGGCTTTGACTTTTGTCGCTCTTTTCTACCGCTGGTGACTCGAAGCGCTTTAACACCGTTTTCCTCGACTGATGACACAGCATCAGGACCAACCGGGTGGGGCTTCACTATCTTGCTCAAGGACGCTTGGACATTGTCCCAATGGCCAGGGATCAAAGCCCAAGTTCTGGGTCGAAGACCTTTTGTCTCAAAAACAACCAAGAGAAGCGTGATTACCCGAGGACGGCCTTTCAACGCTGAACAGTAACTAAACGGAACCTCCCAAAGATGAATCGAGGAATCTTCTTCTACTTATATGTCTGTGTAGAATATCGGTCAGGAAGGCGAGCTGCAGACTACATCTTCGAGAGACTGAGGATGACTAAGAATGCACACAGAAACGATTAGCTAGAAGAAGGTTCCGGGTTGTTGCGGACGCTTCTTGAAGACGTTTCGAGTCCACGATCCAGGAAAGTTGAACTTGGGCAACTGAAAGACATTAAAAGCAAGGACAATACGGTTGTCTCGAGAGCCCGGGACGACTGAGAAAGTAGGCAGACATAACGAACAAGAATCTCGGGAGTCAGGAGCCCCTCCCCCTCCTGCTTGGATCAGAACAAATATGTCAGCTCCCCTTCACCTAAAACTGCCAGTTTCCGTTGGAGAGAGCCGAACAGCCCGGCCGACCGGCCAGCCAGTCGGTGGGTTCGGGCGGGTTGTCCGTGACCGAGCCCAGGAGCTCTCCTTCCCGCTTTGAGCTGAGCTCCTCGGTGAGTCACGTCGCCATGTCAGCTCAGCTAGCGCGGCTAACTTTAGCTCGCTCCGCTCTTCCCCCCCCCTCACCTCGCTCCCGAGCGGTGTGATAACGACGGTCAAACCGAGACGGGAAGCGACCCGGCCTACAGTCGGTCGGCCGGCCGGCAGTCGAGTCACGGCCAGAAAGTCTTCACAGCTAGAAGCGACGAGACGACGGCGGTGGTTGTTGGTGGCTGCGCCTCCTCTCCGGTTAGCTGGAGCTAACATGCTAAACAGGAGAGCGAGCTAGTTTGTCCGCAGATTTAACGCGTCTTGCTCGTGGGCGCAAAAGAAACTAACTTTATAGCCGACGATGTCATTAAATGTGACATGAGATAAAAGTCAGTCGATTTATTTGTATTTATTTCATATTCGGTTGTTTGACAAAAGGCGCACACACACAGACACGCAGAGAGAGACAGAGAGACACACACACACACACAAGCTTTCACATTTCTTCAGTGCGAAAACAAGCCGCAGCTGCCATTCAATTCGCGGCTGCTGCTCGCAAGCACGACGAAAGCCGACATCTTCTGACATCACCGGGGTCTCGCCGCGCGCCGGACTAACGAAGTGTTCCCGAGCGGCGCGGGCGACAGTTTTAGGGGTCGTAAAATCAACATTTTATACTCACGTTCAACGAGGCGTCTCGCTTCCCTTTCGCCCGGGCTTGCGACGCGATACACGAACAACAAGCTGTTGAGTCCCGAGCTGTGTTTCCAGTCAGGCCATTGGCGCAAAGCTCGGCGCTATTCGCCACCGAGCAAAGCGATTGGCCGGCGAAATACACCGTTTTGATTGGTCCGAACTGCTCCGCTCTCGCTATTGGTGGATACGAATGGGGCGCCACAGGGGAAATGACGACTAGTACAGCGCGACTTCCCAATAAGAGGAAGCGTGGGAGGGAAATTTCGCCATTCGAGATCGCCATTGGTTGCCCGGGTTGTGTGCGAGGCGGGGGACGTGCGACGCCATTGGCTGAGCGGGCTTCCTTGTCTGCGTAACGCCAGTGACACAAGGTGGACTCCGTAGACTAAATAGCCGATTCAACCGCGCACGCTTGTTTCTCGACACATCGTGAACGTTGGCTAAAGAGCAGTAACGTGGACCTCTCGTAAACCGAAAGCAACATTTCTTGAAATCGGTACCCAATGTAACGCTTGGCGCCGATTTGTGCCCGTTCTTGCACAAGACTACCGTCTGGGCCAAAATGAACACCGAAGGTGTACGCGAGTCGACCTTAGCGGAGAGAGACGAACGGCTTGAGGCCGGACAACAGCGCCGAAGCTCGGTCGTGCCAATTGTGGGCGACCGAAGCGCCTGAGATGGCGTTATTGTCGCTCCAATTTCACGCGTGACGGCTGCCGAGTCTGAGTGGAGTCTTTCACTACCGTGTTTGGTGATGCGCATTCGTCGTCACGTCGCGCGGACGGGGCCTCCACAGCGAAAGCTCCACACTTGGCGTGAGGGGACACAAACGTCACTCAAGAGGAGCAACTTGTGCGCTCATACAAGACCCTCGCGGATCGATCACGTGGACAAATACAATGGCTGCCTTTGCGTAACGGGAAAACGTTGACAGCGAGGCCATATATGGACATTTGGGTGCCACAAGCCACTTTTATCTGAGAAACGTGCACCAGGACACAGGGAGACCCAGGCGGCAAACATCTTTTATTTTCAAAGCAGAATTATAAAATATGAAAACAAACAAGATCAAAAGAGTCGACGGCTTCACATGTTGTCTTCATCCGAGTCGTCTTCCTCCTCCAGAGAATCCTGAAAAACGCAACGCCGTGTTAAAACGCAGCCCACAAAGTGGGCGAGTGCGCTGGCGAGTGCGCGTCACCTTGGCGTATTTCTCCGCCTCCTCCTTGATGTCTTTGGGGACGAGCACATGTCGTCCGTTTGTGACTGGGGAGACAGACAAAAGTGGGGGTCAGTCGCCATGGTAACCGGCAGTCAAGCTGTGGACAACCGGCGGGTGTGGTCAGACAGCCAAGAGGAAGTGACATCACAGGAGTTCAGTCCAGTGAGCGAAACCTTTTGGACACTCATCATCCCCCGCGCCAGCGCAGGAGACGCAACGTTTACGGTTTCGCGGCCTTACTTTCTCCAACCCAGCTGAGCTCCAACTCGAACGCTTTGTCCTTCACCTCGTCGTGAACGATGTAGATGCTGAAAACACACGCGCGCGCGCACATGCACACGTCATAATGAGCCACCCGGAAGCATTTCCACAAAGAAAGTCAAATGTTATTCGCAGGACGAAGCGCATCGCCGCTTGAAAAAGGGAGGACGCTACAGATCAGCGTCGGAAGGCGCCCGTGCTGGTAACTAAATCTGAAGGGATGATAAGCCTGAGCCAAAAAGTTGCTGTCGGCGCAAAAGCACATTTTGCTGCTGCTAAAGTGTGACGATGTCACGGGGAAGCAACTCACATTTTGGCGACCTCTTTGACCAGCTCTCTGCAGGTCATGTCCTTCATCTGCAAGACACGATGACGTCACAGCACATCGCAAACTTTCTTGACTTCCTGCCGCGTGACGTCGGGTCACGCGTACACGCCACACAAAGCCAAGTGACGCCACACATCACTCGGCCGGCGACTAACCGTTTATTTTCACCATCGACTCATCCGTTGAGAAGAGGGGGTTCACTTGACTAACTCACCTGCAGTTTTTCAATTTCCGTCTTGGCGGCCTGTTTGGCTTTCCCGATGGCGCACCCCCAGTAACCCTGGAAGACACGAACCGAGTGAGGCGTGCGCGGAGCGCGCGCGACAACGGGCACCACGCTTGCACGCGTGTGGTCAGACAGCCAAGAGAAAGTGATGACATCACGTGACATCAGCTTGTTGAGCGAAACCTTCTCTGCATCATCACACCGAGGGGGCTGCAAAATGCTGGAAAATGTTCACGGCAATGAACGGGAATAAATTCGCAATTACAAGGTCGAATCCAAGCCTTAAACGTCGCGACGAATGTGTTTTGTCACGTATTCGATGGGCGGTCGCGCTCAAGAATCTGGCCCAAAACCACCATGATGAATGGCTGCCAGTAGATGGCAGCGCTGCACCGCTTTGGGATCAGCGCAGCTTTTGAGGAGAATAAAAAATTCTCCACCTTACATTCCCGTGAAAATTTTCCCCGGCCTTCCTTTGCGAGCCCAAGCACGCCATCACCACAACGCCGACGGCGGCCATGTGCAATACTCACGTAGGAGACGCCCGAGGGGTCGACCATGTAGAGCTGCGGCCCGTCGTCTTTGTCGTGAGAGCCCAGGATGAAGCTGCGGACGACAACGGTGACGGCCGTCAGCCAATCGGCGGACGGGCGGGCGGTCGAACCTCACCTGCAGCCGAAGGGTCGCACGGCGCTGTAGAGCGTGTAGGCGTGCACGTACATGGCCACGCGCTCAGACAGGTGCTGCGGGCAACAGGAAGCGCTTTTAGTGGAAACACGTCAACTTACTACAAATATTTCAAATGGGAAATGAAGAACCGATACAGCGGAAGCTCGGCTCTCGGACTTCATTTGTTCCCCAGACGCGTTTCCTCATTAAAATGGATAGAAAAGGAATTTTGACGTTGCCACTTGAGAACCCGGGTCACGAGAAAAACGCACCACCCATAAAATACAAGACACACGACACGTCTTGCGACACCACACGATGCCAAACTTTGAAAAATGTGCAGGACTCTCGCAGGCAAACGTGGGCGGATATGCCTGCCTACCGAACGCCGTGATTGGCAGTTGCAGAGCGACTGGCCATCAATCAAACAAAATGACGTCACCGTTTCTTGATAGTTTTAATGTCTTAGTGAAAAGCACCCCAACGTGAGTATTTCGCAACAGCAAAATGACAAAATAATAAAAACTCCGCTTGTAAAAATTCTCGCCATTCAGCACGGTGGAGCGGTGACTTGAGACATACTTGTTCTACACACCTTGAGAGGAATGTTGTGCCCGTAGCTGGAGCGGAAGTTGGACGCTTCATCCCGGGCCACTTCAGCTAGCGAACGGGCGTCCGCCAGAAGGCCCGCCACGGCCTGGGGAGGGAAGGGCCATTGGACGGGTTACCTTGGTTACGAGCCACGGATACCTCGACCCTCGCACGGACTCAAACCGGCACCTACTTTCTACTTTTGCGCTTGTGTGCGTTTACCATGCCGACGTGTTTGTCAATGTTGAAGATGCGTTTGTTGGAGCCCTCCTCGTAGAGTTTGGACAAAACCAGCTTCTCCACGCCAAACACGACGCCATCTTTACAGCGGATTCCGATGGCTGTGCTGAACACAAACACAGCCACACACACAAAAACCATGAACAAAAAGTTGTGATTTTTGTCATGTTTGCGTGACGGACCCTCGGGACAAGTCAGGAAGGCGAGCGCACCCACCTGCTGTTCTCCACAGCTTTGATAGCGTATTCCACCTGAAAGACTCGCCCGTCAGGAGAGAAGGTGGATGCTGATAGGTCGTACTGGAACACAAACGCACACGGATAGGACAGGAGGTTTGCACTCAAGTGGTTTGTTCAAACGGCGCGTGACAACGAAACAAAACCAGATTGCCCAACATGCTTCTTGCGTGACGACGCGTGAGCACCGCCAATATTGACAATTCCACTTCTGACCCCCAGCAACAAGACAAAATAATGTGGTTGCGTCAAGCATTTTGGTTTCTCTACAGTTTGAGCCAATTCAACAGTTATCTTCAACTGAGAGAGACGAATAAACAGCTTGATGCAAGCGCATTTTATCTCACCTGGAGAACTGTGCGAGTTACCACAATGTGTCCCGACCCCACCCCCACATTGCTTTTTGCTTGTGTGCTCCAAATACATTTACAATGTGTTTAGAAGGTGTGTTTGAACAGCTTTGTTGTGCTCGATACACACACACACACACACACACACACACTTTTATGATGACCGAACTAATTTCCGTGGACATTTAACGGGCACCAAGGAGACGCTCTTCTGCTATGTTTTAGAGCTAAGACCGATTTTTTTTATATTTACATTGTTCATTATATTTGAATTGACAAGTTTTTATCTTCCATAGCTAATGTATTAAGTTGCCTTCTGTTGTTTTAGAATAAAGACCGATTTTTTACATTGTTCATTATATTTGAATTGGCAAGTTTTTATCTTCCATAGCTAATGTATTAAGTTGTATGGCTTGCTGTTGCCATGTATATGCAAATGGTATGTACTGTAGAGCGGAATAAATACCAAATATTAGTTCACATCAAGCAGCATAACACACACACACACACACACACACACACACACACACACACACACACACACACACACACAGAGTACACGTGGCATGATCAACGATAAGCATGAGTCGCGATTTCTTTTTTAACCTGAATGTGCTTATTTCAAAATAACGGTGTTGCTTGCAACTCGTTAGAATATTTACTATTAGTGCTCACCTAGCAAGAAAACGTTGACGATATCTGGCAAAGGCCGACAACTTGAGGTACAGGGCACGAGGCACGAGCTGTAACCCCACCACAGATTTTTCCACTTCTGGCCCGCGCGACCACATGGCCAATATCATAAACCAAGGTAATGACGTAAAACTGTCGTGGAACTGTCGTAAAACTGTCGCGCTGTGGGTGTCGCTCTAACCCTTAAAGGGGCACACGCACCAAGAAGGATGATGAATGGCCTGATCCCAAAGGGCACACATTGCGCCCTCCCGGGATTGGGCAAATGAGGTACCTCAACAGGAAGTGGCACAAAATCAAGATTTACCATGACAACAGCCCTAAATATGTATGATTGTTGTCATTTTTCATCTTGGTTTTTCACTTCGATTTATTTTGATTTTTTTAACAGCATAGAAGAGCACAATATATACGTAGCTAGTAACGTTCAATTCCAAATTATATAAATTAACGATATTGTTTTGTTCAACAGAATTCGGACGTCAAAGACGTCGTTTATTTTCATTTCGGAAATAGTTTAGCACGTTCTAACGTGATACCTGATTGCATCATAAGGGGAATTTGTTCATATTGAAACGTGAAATGTGTCCCAATGTTTTGCTGGAGAAATGTTAAAAAGGGTAAAAATACATGATAGAAAGATTTAGAACGGCTATTTTTATGGATCACTTTCCAGTTTGGGCACATCCAATATGGCGCACGCGTTGACGTTTCGCTGTTACGGGCCAACCCATTCAATAAAGCTTCACCGTCCAAGAACAAAATAAACGACGCTAAATCTCGAATGGCGCGATCCAGGGTTGTGTTTCTGGTGACCAATTGCCGCTCTTTCCGTGAGTATGTCATGGCTGTAAAAATACTTCACGACGAGACTCCCGATCGCTTTTAGTTTCAGATTAGCATGGCGGTACAAGGCCGGCCTCGCTACAGGTAAGTGACTCAGCAGCAGGCTAACAGCTAACTCGCTAGCTAGATGCTATTCTTAAAGAAATACTTTTTTCCCCTGACCCTCTTGAAAAATAGAACAATTACGTTTGGAAAATAAAACGTTTTATCTGAGACGAAACGCTTACCCCGGTCCCAATGGAGCTCATTTTGACGTCAACTGTTGGTCCAGCGTGGAAGTGCAAAACAGCAGATTTATCATTGAGTTCTATTCGCACGCACTCTTCCGGAAACCGCCTTCACAATAACAGCTTGTCGCGTAATATTTTAATTTCATTTGTCATTTATGCGAAGGTTTTCCCGCGAAAATGGGTAAATAATACATAAAGGCCACAATTTAGGCTAAATTGAGTAATTTTATCCGACCTATATTTTGGTGGTAATCAAACTAACCATACTAAGCCACTACACGTCCACGTAGGGATTCCATCTCATTTTATTTGAGGGGGTACATTTTCACGACTGTATTGTATTTTTATAGCCATGAAATACACAAGGAAAGCGTGTTTCACCAACGGTTTCACCAATCGCTTTTAATGTGAAATATACTGACTCGAGCTCTCGTGGCACCTGCTACCACATGGTGTCACGACGGCGGTGGGTGGAATTATATTATATATATTTCGACTATACCCTTGAGTCATTGTGAAAATGAAAAGGTTTTGGACCAGTATTATAGTTTGACCAATACTTACTGCACATTCCAGCAGCAGTAAAGTAGCAGCAGTGTTAGCTGTACGTATTGTAAAGATTTATGTTGCACTACCGATACAAATACGCAGGTGAGGTGTAAGTATTACTTTGGTCCATTTGAGGTCGGCATCCTTTTTCTAGAGGATCGAACTCATTTTTAGCACGCGTCGCGTCGAAAATGTTTTTGCTCCGAGAGTCATCACTACTGGTCTACGCTGTTCTCTCTTTTACAGCAGGGTTTACTTACATACAGGTTGGCCTGGACTGGAGTAACCTTTCCTAACGGCGACGTAAAGGTTGCACAAAGGCACCGCCAACTTTCGTGAGCACTTTTAGAACTTCAACGCCCTTACGCTCCAAGTTCTTCCAGGTTATCTTGCTCAGATCAGAAAGGAGGATCCCGAAGCAAAAATGAGAATCCAAAGAGGCGCAAAGGAGCGACTCCCAACACGAGCAAAGTTGGACCTTCGGTAATTATCACATTGGACCACGACCAAAGTGTGTCTCAAACATCCATATTGCAATATGTAGCACTTTTTAATAGCAATTTGGGAATGATTACACCATGAAATGAAGCAATGTCCCAAGAAACCGAATATCAGGAAAATTTAAAAAAAAAGATAACAGGCCTTCAAAACTATTGTGAAAACAAATCAGCTCGTTTATTCGGCTGGCACCATTATTTTTGTACTCTATCGTCACCTTGGATGATACGGAAGCTTTGGTCACGTTAAGTGTGAAAAACATTCGTTTACAGCATGGTAAATAAAAGAGAAACAAACTCAAGAGTGATGTTAAGGCAAAAACACTCAAACTCCTCCTGCAACCAAAAAAAAACAAAAAAGGAGCTATGATAAGTATGAGGAAGATGACCAAGATGACCGTCAGCCCCCACGAGACCGTACTGGAATACAAAGCTGTACAAGACTTTCATTCATTTCATAAGAACAGGAACCACACCCGGAGGAGGAGGCGGCAAAAACGTCTACCGACACCCAATGATCTCGCCAAAGTTTAATGCCAGGAAACAGGAAACGCTGAGCCCCCCTTGTGGCTGGTCCCAAGCAGAACCGATGGATCCAGATCGAACCAGTCTGATCCAGAGTGATTATGACTGATGAAGACTGAGCAAGGGCGCACCACACAGATACCGAGTGATTCTGACTGGACCAGACTGATCCAAATTGAATTTGACTAGCCCACATTAGACCCGGACATGATCCAAATTGAACCAGACGGGCACAGAATGACTCTGACCAGACCTGAATAATCCTGATTGACCCACATTGTTAGACCAGGACCTGGACCATACCTGAACTAGGTTGACGCAAAAAGAACTTTACTGATCCCGAATGTACATAGTTATTCGGGGCCTGAACTCAACTCATCCAGACAGTGCCAGTTAGAAGCAGTCAGGTAGAGCGATTCCGACCGGACCAGACTGATCATGACTGAATCTGACTAATCCCGACTGAGAGGGTCAAGTGACCAGGACCTGGACCACATTGATCCAGAGAACCAGTCTGACGAAAACTGACCCACACTGGAACAGACCGATCCCAATTGAATGTGACTAATCCGCATCGACCCAGAAGGGAGCAGAACCTGGATCTGGACCAGACTGATTATGACTGATCAAGACTGAACCAGACCAACACAGAATGAGTCTGATCAGACGGGAATAATCCAGATTGAACATGATTAATCCTGATTGACCCACATTGTTAGACCAGGGCCCGGACCATGACATGCACCAGACTGACCCAGAACCTGGATTGGATTGATGCAAATGTTTGTGTGGGTGTTGATGAAGAGCACAATGTGTGGTTATTGTGATGAAGATAACAGACTTCCTGTATAGTGTTTTTTTTTTTTTGTTTTGTTTAGTTTTTTTAAGCCTTCTTGTTGTGGTTCTGTAGTCCATCCGACATGGTGCCCACAACCCCGTCCCTACAGCCCGACCCCCCCATGTAGAGAGTGTTGTCCATCTGGAGGGGCCGTGACAAGTGGGACATGGTTAAGTGTTTCCTTTCAGGACACCCAGACAACTCTGCAACAACTGCAGGTTCCCCTGCAAGAGAGAGAGAGAAGGGGGGGTGGGGACGATGACGTCATCAGCAGGCTCACCGACAAAGTCACAGACAAGGTCCCTACCTTGGCATGTTTGAGCTCCAGCTCGGCCAGCTCCACCAGGTTCTTCCTGAACGCCGCCACTCGCCTCGTCTTGAAGTCGATGAGCTCTGGATACACCACAAAGATGTGCGGAGAAAATGAGGGTTGAAGACAAACACACCAGAAACAGTGATGAAAAAGAGAGCGGACGAGGAGTGTGTGTGACCTTGCTTCGCCGACTCTGAGATCTTGTCAAACTTGCGGCAGCACAGCTGCTGGCTGGTGTCCGCCTGCAGGACGTCGCGGTTCTTGGCGCGAGCTTTGTCCAGAGCCTTATTGGCGTTCTCGTAGTCCAGCAGCGCTCGACTGCGGCGGTACAGGAGATCCTGTTGGGGGGGCGACACGCTCACATCATCGGGTGACCCGAGATTTTCGGGGCGCTGCCGTGTCGAAGCTCGCCGGGCGGGACCTTTGCGGCCTGCGACTCCCTCAGGTAGTATTTCAACAAGTCTGCCAGCTTCAAGTCCTCGTCAGCGGCCACACGAGCTTCGATTTTCTGTCAAACGTAACGGGGGCGGGGGGGGGGGGCAATGACGATCGGCCTGACATGTAGCCAAAGAGAAGTCATGTGACGTACCCTGGTCTTCTCAAAGAGCTCAGACACTTTGAGGAAGAACCTGAAACGCAAGCAAGACACCGGCGTGACTCTTCCGTTTGCGGCTGTGACCCGCAAACGCACGGTGGCGCTGGCGCCCTTCGTACTTGCAGAGGTCCGTGGAGTCCAGCGTTCCCAAGGCGTACAGAGACGACGCCATTCTGTTGATGTCGTCCGCAGCGTCTGTAGAAAAACGCAACAGATGAGTTGGAAGTCGCGCGGAGGGGCTTGACCACTTCCTATCCCCGTTTCGTGTGCACAAGTCTTGAGCTCTTCCAACATGTATGCACTTCCGGTCCGCGTTAACACACTTCCTGTCTTAAAGGACTTCCTGTTTTTGTTTTTTTTTTCCCCCCCTGGACTATTGAAACATCTTGTCCACAGACTTAATGCACTTCCTGTGGAGACATCGACAACGCATCTCATGCACTTTGTCATCTACTTCCTCTCCTCACATTTAAAGTCATCCAGTCTGCGCGTCTTATGCACTTCCTGTCCAAGTCATATGCACTTCCTGTTTCCAAGTGTATCAGCCCAACGACCTAAAGCACCGTCTATGTCTCATGCGTACATCCTGTCTTGTAAGAACTTCCCGTCGACGACTCTGTCCGCATGCCCGATGCACTTCCTGACCTTTGCGCTCTCTCCCCGCCCCCGCGCGTGATGCAATTGCCGTCTTACTCTTGTGGGAGCGGATCATCCTGTCGGATTTGGCCGAGGCGTCTTTGACTCTGTTGTGATACTCTAACAAAAAAGTCTTCTCGTGCTCGAAGAAGTCGTCCACGTCCTGCGGACAGAGAGCGTCAAACCGCGGGCCCCGCGCGGCGACAAACTCGGTCGGCGTGGAGCGGACGAAAAGGGTTACCTTGACGCCCGCCACCAGGACGCCGTCCGCCGACTTCACGACATTCTTGAAGAAGTCCTCCAACTTCTCCTTCTTGTTCTTCCCTCGCACGCTCAGCTGCGATCACAAGATGGCGACGTCATCGGCGGTGTCATGCGAAGAAACGGGTGACGGTACACATAGCCCTTTTGACGCTTTAGCCCATAGCCATGATGACCACGGTGTGGGCCACGTAGCACGGCGCTCTTTGCCCTCACGCTTCTTGCTCTCCCAACTATGCCAACTACGTTTTACGAGTGAAGCGCTAGATGTCACCGGTCATACCTGTCGCACCCCAGTCGCGAACGATCGCACACTTTTGCCTCTCGAGTAAAATGTTCAGGACAAGGTTCAGCCAGACATCAAGCGTATCGAGCAAAATGCCGAAGCCTTCCCCATTTGGCCAAGCTACTCACATCCTGGTTGTACTCCAGGAAGACGTGGAAGTTGAGGTCCTTCCTCAGGATGGGATGCGCCGCCACGCGACACAGGAAGACCTCGTGCATAGCCACCGTCTTCTTAAAGATGGCCAGGTACTCGCTGGGACAGAAAGTGAGGCCCACGCGGCCGGGAGTAGGGAATGACGAATGGGTGAATGCTTCCAAACGCATTCGGAATCATTCATCATTCTCAGCTCCCGAATCGCGACGTGGGGATTGGGAGTCCACGAAAACAAAGAAAGAAAGAAAGAAAAAAAATACTCCGACACCCGAGTCGGGAGTGAGTGGAGACCGATTCCCAACTTGAGCAGACGGACTCACGCTTCGAGCTCCTGCTTCATCTTGGTGAACTCCTCCTTGGTCATGGAGCCCTCTCCCTCGCCCAACTTCTGCAGCTTCTCTCTGGAGGCGTCAAAATCGGGTCTGGGCGGGGCGGGCGGGATCTGAAGCCCAACGGCAAGCGTCAGACGATAACACGGACGAGAGCGCGCATTCGTACAACCTCAAGCCGCTTCGGTATCTTGCTCAAGGACACTAGGGCAAGGTTCCAATGGCTGGAGATCCCTGTGGTCTGGGTGACGAGCACTCTACCACTGAACCGATTTTTACGGTATCGACGTTGATGTCAAAAACATGAAAGCGGCCAACTGGGAAGTAGAATTTTGGAATTCTTCCGAAAACTTGCGTGCACTTCGCAAGAAGTGTGAGTCTAGGCAGCGAGACTCACAATGTATCCGGCGTAGTCTTCGTTCTCCACGAACGAGTCGTGCAGCCAGATGAACTCTTCGTGCTGGCGGACCACCGAGAACTCGCTCTGCTTAAAGTTGGGCAGCGTGCTCTGCGGACACACACCGGCGGCGTGACGGGCGTCAACGGGAAGTGACCTCGCGCCACCGGACCGGAAGTGACCTCACCTTGGTGTGCACGGTGAACTTGACCTTGTCTCGTTCGCTGAGGGCGTCCGAGATGTCCACCTGCAGCGTGGCGTCCGTCTGGAGGTCCACGCTGACCGCCCTGGGCTGCACACGCACACACCAAGTCAAACACAGACGTGGTTCGGCCAAGTGGCTCCATTTGCCTGCAAGTGCGTGCGGCCCATGTTGCCGGCAACACCTGAAGCGATTCAAGCCCCGAACCCACCGAGGCGTCAACAGTTGCGACTGTCGGCGAAGGGAGATAACCTTGGCCTCGCTTTTGAGAAAAATCGCGACAACTGTTGGCAGACGTTTGGCAAAGGTTAGGCCAACAGTCTGCAAAAATTTGCGACCTTGCACGAACCCTGATGAACTCTGACATGAACACAATATTCGCCCTCAGCGATAACAGGCGCAATTGTTCGTTTCTTGCTTTGGACCGTAACCAATCCAAAAATCGGCAAAACTCTTCATTATTTCGATTCATTCCAGAATTTTGATTCAAGCCTTCACACGCAAATTCTCCAAGGTGCAACTTCAACATGAGCATTGTCGGTCAGGTGACACACATTCCTGCAAAATATATATATCACGTGGCTTTTGATGGAAAGCCGGGCAACTAACCTAGTAACCTACTACTGGATTTTAATGCTGGCACTGAGAGAGCCAAGTTTGTTGGGGGTGCTAATAGATCGCGTGAAATGTTGAGAATCACTGTTTAATATCGTCACTAACGGTGAGCTTCGCGTCCCTTCCGCGGCCGACGGCGACCGAAACCCAAACAGGTACACGTGACCGTCACGTGACCCGCTGGCAGAACCAGTTCCCCCAAAGCCGTGGCTAAAAATCAAGGTAGCGGGAAGCTAATGCTAACAGGCGGAGCTAACGCCAGCTTGTTTTGGCCACACCGGGCCCTGGGCCTGGCGTGGCCAAAGCGGGCAGAAGCGCCCCAGCTGGGCGAGAGGAGAAGAGAAGGAAGAACGGAGAAGAAGGACAACTCACTCCTCGGTCCTCCTCGGAGAGGAAGTCTGGTCCGTCGTCCAGTCCTTCCTGCTGCGGGCACACAGAGCACACAGGGACGTCATTTTAGGCGGACGAGCGGACGCCCGCCGGAACTGCGGAAGGGAATCGGAGGCGGGGGAGGGAGGCGCGGGCACTCCACCGGCGCCGTGGTTCCGACGCGCCCCAGTCAATATGAGAAAAAGAGCAGAGAAAAGAGAAAAGAGTCGAACCAAACCTACCATCATGGCTGCCAACGGGTGGAGACAGGAAGATGTGTGACGTCATTACGTTGTTTGAAAACATCTGACGCATGACGTCACAATTGACGCGCTGTCTCCGTATTCGAATTACAAATAACAAGTACTGTACTGTACTGTATCTCCAAAGAATAAAACTATTGCTGATAACAATTATCAGAGTTACGCCTACGCCTGGTAATTAGTCCAATTTTAGATATTGTTCTAATAAATCTCTAATCCCACTGAGGTGCGAACATTTTGAGAAATTTTCAATTTACAGCAGCAAAATTAAGAAAGCGAGAAATAGAAGAACAAAAAGTATATAAATAAATATACAGTAAATGGTATCGACATAAGCATATTGAAAATGGGTGTATGTAATATGTAAACATAAACAAATACATAAGTGAATTAAATAAATGGACAAACAAATAAATACATTAATAAATAAAACGCTGCGGTAATCCAAAACACATGCCCTGGTTGAAAAACTGCTAGCAAGGAAAAAAATGCAAGCTGACGCCTGTGAACGGAAGTTTACCAGGCCACTAGGGAGCACCGCGGGACCACCAGATCCTCTGCAAGGACCTGAACGCGATTGCAAGATTAGTAGATACTTTTTTTTCTCACTTTTTTTTCGTTTTTCTGTTTTACTCGTTTTTCTTTATTTCTCCAAAACATTTTATTCAATTTTCATACAATAGGATACATATAGCCTGATTAGGGTTGAGTAGGACATGTCCACTTTTTTCAGCAGTTGCATGCCTTGAACCGCGTTTGTTCATCAAAACCTGGACGATATCTGATGAACGCAAAACATACAGGAAGTACAATTACGCGCCAGAGCAAGAGCGGTGGCGAACGGAAGAGCCCAGGAAACGGCGAGGATCTGCTCTCACGGGTCTGGTCCCGCGGTGCCCTCTAGCGGCCTGTCAAACTTGGCGTCAACTCGAATCTTTTGGGGTTTTTTTTCTTGCCCTCGTTTTGGGCTTCATATGAGAGACGTGAACACAGTCATTCATCGATTCCCCTCCAAATCAGTTCCAGTCGTCCAGTATCGACATGTCCAGTTAGGAAGTGTAAGTCGAGGGGTTCGTAGGTTTTGGATGGATTGCTCTACGTTTGGAATGTGCAAAAAGGGGAGGACGACTTCGTTTGAACACAGCTTTCTTTAATTTTTCCAACGTCTGCCTCGTAACTCTCGAACGAAACCCCTTTTCCGGTAACGAGCCCACTTCCTGCTTTTCTTAGCCAATCAGATGCAAGCAACATAAGAATATTTCAGAAAGTGTTAAACAGAATATAATTTAGGTAAATGTAATATAAAAGAATATAATGCTCAAATCTAAAATTATAATCATTAACAATTTAACAAAAGCTTACAGAAGCAACAATTCAAGATCAAGTTCACCGACTGTCGCGCAAAATAGTTGGAAATGAGAGGACCCGAGCAAAACAACGCCGAGAAACGAACGCTTGTTTTGTTTTGATTTCTTCAAAGCTTTATTGATATCAACTAAAACGGCGACCGGCCAGACGGAATTATCTTGACTGGTCGAGCAACAGAACGTCCCTGGATATGAGGGTGAAAATCAAACCGCTCCAGCCAGGACAGTAGGCGCTCCATTTTTCACTTCTCAACATCATCACTCATTCGAGCAAACATGTTGATGTGATGCACTTCCGTTCCAGTTGACGGATTCTTGGTGATGTGGCTCCCTAAAGACCCACCCGCGTCGCTCGGCGAGACAGGAAGTTCTCCGCGAAAGTTTGGAACCGTCGCCACTCGCAAACGTGTGTCAGATGAGCTCCTCCCACTTCCGCACGTCATCGGACCGCCGCCCACAGAGTGACACGGCGAAACTGCGGCGACTGGTTTTGCGGCCGTTCCAAATCGTCTGATTCAGCCGCACGACGTGGCGACGTCCCCAATCGGAGCCGACGTGAATGCGCAGAATCGTTCGCGCATCCCCTAAAAGGTCACGAGACGCAGACGCGCCATAAAAACGTCAGTGACGGCCATTGAAATGCGCTGGAAAAAAAGATGGATACCCTGTGAGGGATTCATAGATTTTTAAAACCCAAAACGGTCTTCCAAAAAACGCAGAGAAACATTGACTATCCATGTTTTTTTATTTAAAAAAAAAAAAAAAACGGGGGGATGCTGGACCCCTGCCCCCCCCCCAAAACAAATATGTGGGGGGGGGGCCATATTTCCAATTCCAATTTGCGGTGGCTCTTTAGAGCCGTTGTGTGCTCCCTTTGGCCGATTTTTAGTCACCAATTGTGCCCGTACCCTCACGAGTGAAGCAGGCCGCCTGACTAACTTTCTTTACACGGAGCTCAGTGGGCCCTTAACTTGAAAAAAAATCGAAACTAAAGTCACGATGAACGAGTTGGGGTAAGAGCATCGAACGAATGTTCATCATAAAGCACGACCGACAAATGAATTCAAGTCAAAACTCGGAACACTACTAACAGGTCGGGATCAAATCCAACAAAACCAACAGATCAACTTTGAAAATAAGTCGTGGCTCAAAAAGCAAAGCATTTCGGAAGCACGGAATGTTGCCACGAAAATTGATACAACAGTAGAAGAAAGGAAGAACGGGAAAAAAAAACAACATCGAGGGGAGCACAAAAACAGGAGCAAAGTAGGAAAGCAGAAGAGCACCAAGACGGAACCATCTGAGTGGAATTCCTGCGAGCAGGTTCACACACGCTCTTCCTCTCAACTTGGAGTCCTGAGTCAAATTCCTCTGAGCGTCCAAAAAAATCAATAAATTCCCCTCACAGAGCAAAAGATGAGGACTGATTGCCAATGGCATCAAGATACATTTGGTTGGGAATAAATATGAGAGAAAAAGCACACACAGAAGAAAACTGAAAAGGGGCCTCGCGAGGACATCGAAACGAGAGAACCCTTTGAACGTTTCCTTTTCACATCACCGGGGCAGAGAAGGCCCCCCGGCAAACCTTTTCTGTAGGCAAGACCGATTTCAAAGCGGGAGCCGCCAACAAGCTACGGCAGGCGCCCCCCCCCGGGGTGCCGTGCGAGTCGAGTCGGCCCTCTCGCTTCCACCATTTGGAGTGGTCGGACCTGTTTGGGCCAAAAGGTGTGGCGTTGAGTTTACCAGTCAGGACAGGCTCCAAGTCATTCCGTTTCGCTGCGCTGTACAGAGAAAACCACTCCCAGAAGCGGCACCGTCACGTCACGCCTTTATACGTGCCTCACATAAAACCTTGTCGGATTTGTCCGGACGTTGCGAAGCTTGCGCGGTTTACGAGCCATCTCTACCCGTTTGCAGACAAGATGGTAAGCTGGCCTCTCTTTTCTCCGCTCCTCCGCTCCCGCCGTCGGTGCGCCACGACGTTTGCGGCCCCTCTCGGGGGGGCCCCCTCTCGGGTTTTCAAAGAAGTTGGCGGGCTGGCTTTAGCTCCGCTGGTTAGCGTTAGCACCTCCGCTACTTAGGCGTAGCTGTAGCTTTGGTGGAACTGGTTCTCCCGGCCGCTCGTGTGACATGGAGCAAATGTTTAGCTTCTTCTTTTTCTTGTCATATATATACAGAGATCGATCGATAGTTGTCGAGCAACTGGTGAATCTCTGCGTGCGAGCGCGCGGGTGGCTAAGTATAGCGTTTCATGACGTATGTAGAAAAAAACGCCGGCATGGGGCCGACATATCGGGTGCTAAAATTTGCTCAATGTCACATTTTTTTTTTTGTTTTTGTTTGTTTTTTCACAAATCTAAAGACTAACGGTCAGTCCAGACTCATGTCAAACGTGACCTATGATGAGGCAATCTGAAATGTGGTGACGACCGTCCCGAGCTCTCTTTTGACGAGGCGCCGTATGCGCTCGAAAGAGAACAAACATTTCGTTTGGGTGGGCTCGTGAAAAGGAATGCTTTTGGAATGGTGGTCTGTCCGTAGAACGCGGCGGCGGTGAGGTGAGGGCAACTCCCGGCATGCTCGGACCGCCCCCTTCGAACGGCGGGGATCTTCAAACTTTTCCGTCATCGGAGTGAAATCGTCGCTCAAGGGAAAGAACCCGCGTCTGCCCAAATACGGTCATGTTCACGTCGCTCCGTCCCCGTTGATTTGGACGTGACATTTCAAAGGGGGGGCGGGGGGGGGGGAAGGATTGCATCGATTAAAGCCGCCGTAAAGTGAAAATAAAAAATGTCTTGTCGATTGGACACACCTAGAGAAGTGTTGTTCACCAGCTCGCCAAATTTGAAACCAATTACAAGGAAAAAAACAAATGCAGAGTCGGCTTCGTAATGGGAAAGAATTGATCGGCTCTCTCAGCTGTCACAGTTTCCAAAGTGTGAGCTACCTGTTGGAATCTTGTTTTTTTTTTTTGTTTTTTTAAGCAGCACTTTTATGGGAGTTCAACCCTCCGAAACGAACCCAAAAATGATACATATATTTTAATCGTGACACCCGCGTATTTCCCACTGTGGTGTGGTTTGCCGTCTTTTCCACTGAAGAGCCGCAGTTCCGGGGAGTTGCTGGTGCCGGGTTTTTTATTTCTCCGAAACAGACATTGCCATCTTTGAACAGGTAGCAAATCAGAACATGATGCCCGTTTGTAATCAATCAATCAATCAATCAATCAATCAATCAATCAATCAATCAATCAATCAATCAATAACAGAAACGCGGTTGAAATAACAACGACAGAGGGACAGACCGACGGATGAGAGTTCGGTCGGGCGCGACGTCACGACAGACCGACGGACGAGCATTTGCGCGCGATTCCAAGCGGACTTTTTGTTCTCGTGAGTAGAACCCGGACGGCGTTGGGTGTGAGAGGTTTCACCAGCGGGACTCCTTGTGTGTTGTGGGCAGTCGTCAGGCGTGAAGGTGGACGGCGCCATTCCCATCTTGTTTAATTCAATGAAGTTCAAGAATACGCCGAAAGTGGCATTCTTCCGCATAAGCGACGACGGCAAGAGCATCATCGTGGACGAGGACAGACAAATCATGCCGTGCGAGAAGGACCCCTACGGCGCATTCATCAAAATGCTCCCGAGCGACGATTGCCGATACATCGTGTTTGACGTCGCCTACGGGACCAAGGAGTCCGGCGACAAGACCCAGCTGCTCTTCATCGCCTGGTGGGTATCCGCGTGCAAATGTGCTCATGCAGCTCGGGCTTCCCATTTGTCTTTCGGTTCTTTCACTCCGCAGTTGGGGGGCTTTCAGCCTCGCTTCAATAGTGCCAGAATAGACTTCGAAGGTCCCGGAGCTCAAGCGAGGCCGACCGGGCTTTGACTTCCTTCGAACCACTCTGACTCCAGCTGAGCCTTGTCGCGTGGAACCGAAACCGCTTTCAGTAGAACCGCTTAGACTCCCGCCCCCCGGCCCCGTAGAACCACTTGGTTTTCAGTCGAACCTTGTTAGAATCCCTTTGACTCCAGTACTGGAACTGGAAGGACTTGAGCAGAACCACTTTGAGTCTCGCTTTCTCCTCTTTTAAATGCCGTCGACCGGCAGATCTGCTTTCGGTTCCACGTGACATTGCCGGTACATCCTTTCAACTCAGAATTCATCTTCCGCTCCATGTCCATGTTCAAACACGATCATGCTCAAGTGATGTCACTTCCTGTTTGGTTGGCGCACGCGTGCGCACAGGGCTCCTGAGGATGCGCCAATCAAATGCAAGATGGTCCACGCCAGCTCCAAAGATTACATCAAGAAAGAGTTGGGATGTGAGTGATCAGGAAGCGCACCATGACACCCCCCCACCCCCGCATGTTGTCGTTGTCGCATGATGATGATGTCACCGGCGTGTTTCCTCCCCAGTGGAGAACGAGTGGGATCTACACGACATGGCGGACGCCATGAACATCAGGGAGATGGGCGCCAAGCTGAAAGGGGCTCTTTGCGTGGAGGGGAGGGAACTGGGATGCCAGTGACCCGGGGACCCCGACGGGACGACATCTGCGGCCTTCGAGCGGAATCTTGTTTGTGACATCCCACAAAGCCACGCTTCAATAAAAACTGGTGGCTATGCGTCCCGCCTCGTCTTTTTGTTTGCTTTCTTAGCAAGTTCGGCTTCAAACAATCGTCATCAAGTTGGGGGGGCGGGGGGTGTGTGTCTCCCCCCCTTCCTCCGACACACCCGGTTCAAACGATCGACTCAACAGCGAGCTCCGAGAAGCCTGCCGACGTCAAAAACAAGACGCTACCTCCCAAGACGGCGTCAAGAATGAATTGAGATTCGAGTTACGGCGCCGTTAGCGCACGTTGCCGATTGTCCGAAGTCTGACGGCTCCTTATCACCCCGATAAGTTTGCTCCGATTGGCTTTTAAACTGCCTAAAACTGCACACAGTAAATACAATACAACGCCTTGCTGAGATGTTCAATGTCCTGCTAAAACGTGGAAAATTCCTCTATCCTTCAACCATTATGTGTTTTTTTCCGAAAAAAAAGTTTTGGTGAATGGCGAACTTTACAATACAAAACAACGAACAAAAATTGTACATCGGAATGAACACATTTCATCAATTTTGTGTTTGATTGTTTTGTTTGGGGGTGGGGTGGGGGGGACTTCAGGACCCTATTTACCTGTCCTTCGTGGCTCTTCCTACTTTGTTTTTTTTAGGTAAGACAGTACGTACAAGCGTTTGATCACGTGCCGCTTATTGTTGGAACGACACGATCGCAGTTAAAATGAAACGGACCTTCCCAAGTCAACAGCCGGAATTTCGATACGGGTACCGGAAGCAAACTTTCCAAATAAAAGCGTGGAGCTTCGTGTCAGCTGCGTTCTGGTATGGTTCGCAAGGACCACGTGAGTAGCCCGCAGACCTGCTCTAAAAATAGATTTAAAAGTGAATTCATTGAGAAGGTGGGCGCTTTGCAATGTAATAAAGTGCCGTCTATCGACATTCATCCGTTTCTAAAACATGACCGGTGACTTCTTCATTATTAACATAACGGTAACATTATTAAAGGTAATTCGATCAGATGTGTTATTTCATAAGTGTGCGGGGTTTGGGGGATGAAGCTCACGTGTGGCAAGTAAGACTGCAAAAGTGCATTCGGGGCTTCCGCCGCCAACATCGAGCTTCCGGTCGTGGAGGTTCGAGGGGCGGGCTGCCGTGCCGCACCCAGGCAGGAAGGCCCGCCTTCGCAGACGAAAATGACCACGACCATTTCAAACTGTCCAAAACTCGAAAGGCAACACTCATGCGCCGACTTTTGAAATCGTGACATTCTCACCGTGAGTCGTAGAATAAATCCATGTCGCGAAACGTGTTACTTGACACCACGTCGCACTTAGAACGCTTTCCGACGTTTCTTTTGGAAAACCACATTTGGAGCAGCTTCCGTTGCTGGGTGCTAATAGGCTAGGCTGATAACGCAAATTGTGAGGGTTGCCTCGACTTGCAAAGTGTGGCGTCGGCGTGCTGAGCTGAGCTGAGCTGGGCTGCGCCCGGGACGTCACCGCGACGCAAATAGAAACGGGATCACATTCTCGGTGCACCCGGCGAGACTGCGCGTCTACCGCTCCATCTAAGGGCAAGAATGTGCAGCTCGCAGGAAGTCGGTCGACTCACGCAGGAAGTCTGGATTCTGCTGCCGGTCGCAGCTTCACGTTGGCTCAAAAGAGGGTTCCGGTCGCCTCAGGGAGGTCAGGGTGGGGTTCTAATTCAGTTAAATTGGCCCTGATTGACTTTGTTTAATTCTCACGCTGGAGTGGTTGCAACCGGGATCGATGGAAGCCTAAGGTTCAAATGTCGACGTTCCGCTTAAGTCGCAGCGGTCTGACGAGGTTCGACCAAAGCCAGGGACAAATTCAAACGAGGTCCTAATCGAGGCACAGTGGTGAAAATGAGGTTCTGGTAACAGTTCTAATGGGCGTTCGCGAAACATTAAAGTGGTTTGGTCCCTACTGACGTTCTGGCCAAGTCAATATGGTTCAAAGGCTCGGGGCTTGGATCGGGTTTCTCGTCCCGCCTGCTTTCCATCTCTCCCTGCTGCAGCAAACCTCATTGAAATGGTCAGGGCGCGTGGCAGCGGGGGAGACATGGAAAACAGCCACTACCAATCGAGGAACGCGATTGCCAAGCCTCCTTGGTGGTTCAGACCAAGTCAAAAATGCTCCTCGTGGGGTTCTGCGTTTGATTTGAGGCACAGATGAGACGGGAGGCGGGGCCACAGGCTTTTATTGCAGAGTGGCTTCCTGCGAGGTCACAATCAAGGTTCCACCGTAAGGCTGCGGATGTTGTCGCGTTCTCGTCGTCGCTGCGAGGGGGGGGGGGGGCGCCTCGGTCATCTCTCACCGGGACTTGGCGGGGCGAAAGGGGGTCCTATCTGTTTCCCGTAGTGTGATGCTTCCCAAATCAAAGTGCACTGTAGTGAAGTGTGGCGGCGGTGGTTACATTCAAAGCAAAACGCAAGGCGGGCGGGAGAGAGAGAGAGCTAACGCTAACTGTGCTGCGATGAATCGTGGAGCCGCGCGGCGACAAACAAGAATAAATTAAAGTCACGTAAAAAAGAAAAAGAAAAGCCTCGCAGTTGGAGGCCGAAGTTTTTTTTTTTTTTGGCAAAACTCTTGAGACGACCTTTCCTGCCGGGTCAACAATTCATGTGGCAACAAAGTGGGAGGTGTTTGCATATTTTTAAGTTAATGAGATCTTTCGGGGAGACAAAAGCAAACGAAACAAAACCCCAAACCCCCCCAAAAATTTAAAAAAAAAAAAAAAAAAAAGAAAACACTGAGGCCTGAAGACGCCAACTCCTTCATGACGCGGACACACACGGCAAGCGGCAGCGGTGTTCTGGTGGGCTCGGGGCGGTCGGGTCCGGATGGCACGGCAGGTTGGCTCGGCGCCCGTGACATCACAGCGGCTTCCCCTCCAGAGACACCACCACGTTGCCGCCCAGCTTCTCGGCCAGCGTGCTGCGGTCCTGGATGTCGTCCAGCCCGTTCACCTGCCACTCGTGCTTGATGCCTGGAGGGGGACGACGGCGACATCGTCAAGCGGTTGTGACGTGTCAAAGGGTCACGAGTCGCCGACGTCGTGCCACGATGACATCACAAGACGCCGACATCATCATCGTGAAACAACGCCACCGTGAAACGGGCATCCCGAGACGGTCTCGGCTCGAAGGGATGGGCGGATTTTTCCATTTTGAGGGAGCAGAAAACGGCGGGGTGGATCATTGAGACCGTTTGGATGCGCTCTTCTATTTGGCAGTGGTACCGGATCCCGACTCGGCAGACACTCAAAAATCAAGTGACTCGGATTTGTGTGTGAAAAAACAAACAAAACTAAAAGTCCACAGCTGGGCGATTGGAGAAAACAGTCCTCCATCCAGCGTCTCCAGTTGGTCCAGAACGCCGCCGCTCGCCTCTTGACCGGTACTCGTAAGACGGAGCTCATAACCTCTACCTACTCTGGCATCCCATCGCGAGTACGAGCCGTCAGACCGGAGGAAGCGCTCACCTGTAAACTTTTTCTTGATGGCGTCTTTGGAGCTGGCGTAGATCATCTTGCTCTTGAGGGGGGCGCCATCGGGAGCCCTGCCGGGGAAACAACCGGGAAGTGAGGTCACGCGCAGAGGAAGCGCTCTGGCCGCCGACCGCCCGCCGATGCGACCTACGCCGTTAGCGCGCACCAGAAGCTAGATTCCAGCTTGAAATCAAAATGGCTCCAACAAGATTCCAATCAAGTCATAGCACTGCCGATGCCGCCCACCCTCCCGATGAGGTCTACAGAAGACACTTCGGTTTCACGGAGTTTCTACCCAAAGTCAAGGTGACACCAATGGGGCCCCACAAAATGTTGCCAAAGCGGCACCGCCAAGATCGCGGCGCTTTTCAGGAGCTCGGACAGCGATCGGATTGGACCACCAGCGGGATGGAATAAGATTCTCGTCATTCTCCAAAGGCCAAAGAGGAGGTCAAATCTCCAAGGAGTCGCTCCGAAGTCAACGGAGGACGTTCAACCGAAGCCGCGAGGAAGGCAAAAGCAAGCGGGAAGCGACACGGCACAGAGAAGGAAGGAAGCGCTTCGGGCGCCGGCCGACGCGTTAGCGCGAGGACACGCACCAAAAGATGAAGACCAGGTCCTCCTTCTTGGACTCCTTGGTCTCGTAGGTGGCGTCGTAGAGTCCGTATCGGCAGTCGTCGAGGGGGAGGAGCTTGACGAAGCAGGCGTACGGGTCGTCCACCGTCTCGCCGATGTCGCCCACCAGGATCTGTTTGTTCTCCTCCACGATGATCTTCTTGCGGTCGTCGCTGAGGCAGAAGAGCACCGCCTTCTTGCGCTGCTTCACCTCGTCCGGCGTCCTGTGCGACTTGCGCACCTTCATGTCGTTGAACACCTTGATGACCTCGTCGTTCACGGTCACACCTGACGCCTGGAGACACACGCGCGGCAGGTTATCGCGGGAACCCGCCCGTACCGCCGGCAATTAACGGAAGAGAGCGGAAACGACCGACGGCTCGGCTTCGAGGCGCGTTGCTGTCGAACGGCCGCGCGCCTGAGCCGCAACCGATTCCAAAAACCAGATCCCGTTCAAACAGTCACAAATTGCTCCGAAACGCCGGGCCAATTCTATCAGGGCCTTTTCAAGTTTTTGTTTTTTTTTACTGGTGATAATATGAACTCATTTCCAAGTCAATGTAAAACATTTTTTTTTGAAATTTACGCGAATAATATAAAATGTCATCTCAACTCTCAAAAGTCTTTTTGAAAATCATACTTATGACCCAAGTCAATGTTGGATCAAATGTGATTTTCAGTGGCTCCAAGGCTGGTCCTGGTCAGTTCCTGACTGGAGGTGTTATTTTTAGGTCTATTTATGTATTTTTTTGATTTCATTGGGACAGTGAGCATGAGTGCACACAAGAATAAACTGTGTAAATGCGCCGGACTTAGCATAAATGCTAGTTTCCAGCCATAGTCCCAAGGCAGGTTTCTTAACATAAAATAAAATATCACACGACACATAAACAACACATAAAACACGGACCGTCTTAGCCACTTTTCCTGCATACGCTTTGTTCTTTGAAGCAGTTCCGGATGAAAGAGGAGAGAATCCAAGTGTCCTTTCACCAGTGGATCGGAGACGTCGTGCTCAAAATGTGCACACGTCTGCTACAAGCTGAGTTTGAAAGGAAACGAGAAGCTGCGGCGTCCGTCGACAAAAAAAAAAGATTGGTTCACTTTTCCTGTCTCATGTCAATCCGTTTCAATTCCACGCCGGCGACTCTCAGTTCCAAATACGCATCCGCGCCGTCTCTCCTCTCTCATCCTCGGCTGCACAAGCCATCCCATCCGGCCGCAGACCGTCCCAACAGCGCAGACATCTTCGCTAAACAAAACGGGGCCTGGGATGCTTCCCATCCCGGGCGCAAAAAACAACAAGCGTCCCGTCCTAGGGGGTGGTGTCCAGCGGCGACAAGTCAACAAGCGCCGACATACAGTACCTCCCAATGAAAATCAGTGGTGGTACAGCCGTGCTGCCGAGAAGGCGCAGGTCTGGACCGGACTTTGGAATTCGGCCGGACTGGGTCGGACCCTCGGCAGTGGCCTGGTGTGTCAGAGGCAGGACCCCCGCCTGATTTAAAACGACTGACATAAAACCCCTTTCTCTGACTTTCGGATGAACTGGGTGTACAAGAAGTGCTTCTTGTGCACATTTGGAAGGTCTGGCGACTCAATGTACCTCGCATGGCTTTTTAATTATTTTTTTTTTGGAAGCTGGGACTTTTCCAACATCATGAATTTGATAGCTGAACATGCCATCCAGCCAGCCAGCCCCGGCCCGGGCCCAGTCCGGCGCGCCTGCTGGCGCTACCCAGCTGCGGAGCTAAAATGGCCGCCCCGGGGCATAACGGTTTGAATTCCGGCGTAGGGCGGAGCGCGCCGCCGAAGCCCACCGGAGCGGACAAGTCAAAAGCGGCGCCGGCGGCCTCTCTCGGACGCAGGTCCCACCACTCGAGTGGCGTTCGAGATCCTCTGCTGACTCAGTGGAGCGGCGGCGAAGGCGGCGGCGGCGGCCATGCTGGCTAGCACCACGCTGGCCGCCACTCAACGACACGCGCGCGCGCACGCACAAACTCTCACACGCCGCCGACGGCTTCGCCGGGGGCCCCGGCGAAGCCGCCGGTGCCGTCGAAAAAAAGGCCGCTTCTTACCATTCTGTCCCGGATTTGTCGGCCAAGTTACGCCGTTACAAGGCTTCGCTGAAGGTGGGGAGGGTAGCGACTAGCAAAAGGGTGGACAAGCCGAGAAGGA